GGAGGGCTCGGGCCTCCCGCGGGGCGCCCACATCCGCCTGCCCGGGGCAGCGACAGGCCCGAGGGAGGGAGCTGGGAGGCCCCGGGCCGTGGGTGCCCGGGCCCTGCGTTCCATCACCCCTGTTCCCGGGGAGGACAAGCTGGGAGGCCGGGGAAGTAGGGACGGCTGCCGTAGCCCGAGGAGGGGGCGGTACTCCGAAGCGGAAGGTTTGGAAGTTCAGGGGCAAAGGGCAGGACCCACTAAGTTGGAGCCCAGCTTGTTGGGGCTGGACATCAGCGCCCTCATCCCGCGGAGTCCGTCAGGGCCCTACTCAGATTTTTGGGTGGAGAAAATGGTCCTCTGGAGGGGTCCCGGGTTGGGAGACTTATTCGAGCATTGACTCTTGCTCACCCATCAGGGTAAAGAGACACCTGTGCCCAAGTGAGCTGGGAAGGGCAGTCCCTGCAGGAGAACCGGAAGGTGGGGACCACTGGCTGTATACTGAAGGCTGGGGACCTGAATATGGGTCCTAGGGTCTGTTGGTGCCGGGGAATGTGAGAGCAGGGCAGAGGCAAATCTGGCAAACTAAGCTGGATTCCGATTACCAATTTTTAGGCCTGCAGGTTAGAGGACAGCTATCTGGGGCCTGCAGGCCCCCTTGTGTCCCCCCATTTCCTTCCCTCTGGCTGCCCATTTGTGTCTGACCTCGACCAGCCATTGCTGCGCCTCATTCCTTGTCCTTGTTGACTGTCCGATATACCAGAAGGCCTCCTGCAATGAACACTGGCCGTCTTGCTGCTAACCATCCCTCCCACACCCTTCTTCAACAACTACTTTAAGCCCCCACTGCCTGCCAGTTTCTAGGGTGCGAATGGGCATTGGTTCTCAACAACCATGATGGGAGCTCAACATCCGAACCATCAGCCTGTTTCCAGACTTGCACCTGAACCCATGGGGACCTTCCTTCAAGTCCAGCCATTGGGCCAAAAGAAAGGAAACTATGACTCAGGTTACTATGCTCTAATGGGGCATTTTGGTGGCCCATTTCTCCATGACAGGATCCCACAGGCTTCTGGGTTGACACACATACTTCCCTCCTCATCCTGACCCTCTTATACATTCCAAGCCCTTATGCAGCTTCTGCAAACCATCTCTGGGCTTCTCATTGCTTAGCATTTCCCTCACCCTCCCTGCTATTTCCTTGCCCCCTGCCCTCAATCCCTAATTTTTCTTTTTAGTCACTGCTGAGGGAAACTGAGGCACACAGCAGTTTCACTGTATGGTACCCAGTGGACTAAAACTGGAACAAGTCCTGGACCCATTGTGACTTGTCCCCTGCCTTTAGTCCCCTGCCTTTAGTCCCCTGCCTTTAGCTCCTTCCTGCCTAGCAGCATCAGGAGCAGAGTCAAACTTAGAGCTACTCCTTAGTGTTGCACCTGGAATGGTTGAGGGTAGTGCTCCTATAAGGAGCACTCTGTCCCTTAGTTCAGCCTATTGTGTGGGTATCTCCCTGGCCACCAAGGCTTACTTTGGTTTGTAGAGGCAGGGACATTTTAATTTCTAAGCAGGTCATTCCACTTTTATTTCAAGCTCAGATTCCTTGTCGCTAAATGGGGCAGAAATTCCAAGTGCACTATCCAGAGCACAGAGCAAGAGTGGCTGACCACAAAGAGATAAGTCAGTGTCTAACTAGGTGTGTGTGCGCGTGTGCGCGTGTGCGTGTGCATTATAACCCCCGACTTCCATTAGGAATAGTGGACCTCAGTTTTAATGTTTGGACTCCAAAGTTGAAAGTTTCACAATTGTGATATAAAACTTTTGGGCAACTGAGAAACGTTTATGTGGTGGTGATGGGGGGAATGGAGACCCTCTTGTAAGACCCCCTGGAAGACAGAAGCCTCTGTAATCCAACCTCCTCTTTGTCTTCTTTCCCCTGACCTTTCATTAAGAACTGGTAGTTTTGAAGTTGGCAGAGGCCTGAGACAAGATGAACTAATGCAAGGGCCAGGGTCACCCAGCCAGGGAATGGCAGGCAGCCTGAATGGGCTGGGACCAGGCTTTCTGCCTCTGCTGGTGCCCATTCTCCTGACCCTGGTGCATGCGTAGATGTAGAGCTGGGACTTCCAGTGAAGTGCGGGATATTGCTGGAACAGGGCCCCAGGAAGACCTGGGATTGGGGGAGGGCATATGTCCCCTGGAGGCTCAAACTCCTAGACTATGAATTTGTGTGTGTTGGATTTGTTAGCTGGATGGGCACTTCCTCTGGGGCAGGAAGCATTGATTTCCTGTGGTGGTAGTGGTGGTGGGGAGGTTGGTAGGGATTAGGAATGGGGGGCTCAGCTCTGGGCTATTCCTGATGTTTAGGACCACAAAGAGTTTCTCCTTGAGGCTGCTTCCGCCAATCCAGGGGAGGCAGGAAAGAGATGCTGGCCAGGAGGCCCAGGCCGAGGCTGGAGAAGGAGGCTATGAGGCCAATGAGATGGGGGTGGGCAACACAGCAGGAAGCCCGGTCAGCAGGTGACCCTGCCGGGTATTGTGTTTTCTTTATAATATTTTCTCCTGTTTCTGTGGTAACCTTCCCTGGGGGACCTAGGCCTTAGGGCTGCAGGAAAGCGCCCCCAGACAGCCCTTTCCTTAGAGGCCTACGTATTAGGAGGAGTCCCCAGATCTAGCCACCTATTAACCCTTTTGGCTTCCTAGGACCAGGGCCTGGGAATCCAGGCAAGTAGCCTGAGGGAGCATTGATTTGGAGGCTCAGTGGTGGCCCTCTGTCATCTCTTGGGGGGCCGTGGAACAGAAAGGGTGCTGGATATGGGAGGGCTCCTAGAAACTTGAGTCATTAGTCTCAGCCTCTGCCTCTCCTCATCCCATCTCTCTTTACTGCCCTCCTCTAGCCACACAAGGGGGAGGTGATCAGCATGCTGCCTGGGGCAAGGGGGAGAGGTGTGGGTGGCAGAGGTGGGAGGGATGTTTTCATCAGCAGAGCATAGCTCCTTTGGTTCTGGACCAGTTCCCAGAGGCAAAATAAATTCAGGATAGCATCTCTAAAGTGTGAGTCTCTATATGATGTGTATGTGCACACACATTGGGTGTGTGATGGGTAGGTGTCTGTTTGCCCCAGCTGTGAGCTGTGAATATGGATGTTGTGGTTCCATGGCATCTTGTGACCAATGTTGTGGCTCTGTGCTGGGTATTTGGGAGCGGGGTATGCACACATATAGTACAGATGTGTGTCATCTGTATAGTATATACCTTTGCAATCTATGGCCCTGTGTGGGGTATATGGACATGTTTGGGGGAATGAATACCTGTGTAGCAGTGGCTTTTAAATGAAAGTCCAGATGTTGACTTGTAAAGCACCATTTCATCCATGGTCCTCAAATGCCAGTTTCTAGATCATTTGCTTCAGAGTCACATGAGGAATGTGTTATAAACATCCTCAGGCCCTATTCCAGAATCTGCAGGGTTGGGGCCTTGGAATCTAGATTTTAACGTGTACTTCAGGTAATTTTAGTGCAAAGCTGTTTGAGAAAACCCAATCTGGGCCAACCTCTTCATTTTTTCTTTAAAGAAACAGAACTGGGGCTGGGGATGTGGCTCAAGCGGTAGTGCGCTCGCCTGGCATGCTAGCGGCCCGGGTTCGATCCTCAGCACCACATACCAACAAAGATGTTGTGTCTGCCGAGAACTAAAAAATAAATATTAAAAATTAAAAAAAAAAAAAGAAACAGAACTGCATAAGATATATAATTTGTCCAAGGTCAGAGGGTTATTAAAAGGAAGAACCAAGATATGATGCAAGTCTTCCAAAACTTGTCCAGGACTTAGTGCTCAACCATGAATCCTGTATGTACACACATCCACACATGGTGTGTTAAAGGGGACCAGACGGGGCTGGTGAATATATATATATTTTTTAATTGGTTGTTCAAAACATTACAAAGCTCTTGACATATCATATTTCATACATTTGATTCAAGTAGGTTATGAACTCCCATTTTTACCCCGTATACAGATTGCAGAATCACATCGGTTACACATCCACATTTTTACATAATGCCATATTAGTAACTGTTGTGTTCTGCTACCTTTCCTATCCTCTACTATCCCCCCTCCCCTGGTGAAGATTCTGACTCTGATGGGGGATGAACTTTCTTCTGGGGTCCCAGGCTTCTTGACCTTGTTCTTCTTGTTACATTGTTTCCTCCTGGGGGAAATCCTGGAATGTTTCATATCAGTCCTAAAGGTTGATGTTGGCAGCCAGGGACACTCATTTACCCAGCTGGTCAATCAGCAATTCATCCATTCATTGGATGCTTGCTGAGCCTTACTGTATGCCAGCCAGCCTGGGCACAGATGTGCAGTGGACACAAAGGCACAGCATCTAACTTCAGGGAACTTCCCCTTTAGTGAAGGAGACAAATAGAAGCAAGAAAGCCAGTAAAAGAATGAGTATATGAGGGCATAGCTCAGTTAATAGAGTGTTTGCCTCACATGCCAAAGCTCTGGGTTCAATTCCCAGCACCAACAGAAAAAAATAAAAATAAGAAAAGGAATGAGTATATGTGATTAGTTACACATTGTGATAAGCCCTACATAGAAATGACTAGGTATAGCAATAAAAAATAACAAGGTGGAACTTCCTTAGATAGGGCCATGGAATTAGAGGGAGTCAAGGCTTAGACAGGACCTGATTACTTCTCCTACCTTGGACTGACAATGTGCCCCCAAAGCCTGCTGAGTCCTGCTTGAGGACTTCCTGGACCCAGGTGGTGGATTTGGGCTGAGGACTGGTGCTGAATTGCTGGCCTCTCTCCTGGCATGGAGGACAGTAGTCTCCTCTACTTAAGCAGCCCCTTTGGGACAGAGCAGGGAGAAATCAGGGGGAGCAGAAAGAAGCCAAAATCCAGGTTGCTCCCTTGCTTGGGGTGGGGGTGGAGTCCAGGACCTTGTGGCCATATGGAATTGTTAGAAAGGAGGCAGCCTCTCTGCTGGAGCTCCCAAGCACCACCTCATTCCTGACTCTCCTGCGTCACTTTCCTTTCCCCTCATTTCTTTCCCTTCCTCCAGGTCTCCCCACTGGGAACTGCTGTGCCTGGGAACCACTGTACCCAGTCTCTCCCCTCTGAGCCTACTCTGGCTACCTCTGGCCACTGGGATTTATTTACCTGGCTCAGGAATTAGAGGGAGTCAAGGCTTAGACAGGACCTGGGCCCTGAGAAAGAGGACAGGGTTCAAGAGAGGGCTGAGGTTGGCCCTGCAGGGCCCAGAATAGTAGAGGGTATGGAGAGGTCTGAACCTAGATGACCCTTGGTTGGGCTCTCCAAAGCCTCTTGTAGGCCCTTGGCATCTGCTTTTCAAACTGGGTGAGCCTCTGAGATAAGAGAGGCAGAAGGATCTGATTCGAGCCATCTGCTCTACATCTGCTAGAAGGAAATGCCCCCTTGGGTCCACCTGCAGCCCTGCCCCTGCATCCTCTCTCAGGGGGTTAACTTTCACATTAGCAACTTGGGCGAAAAGTTCCTCCTCTAGGTCAGCAAGCAGCCTTCAGACTCTCTGGCCTCCAACCTCTCCTCTGTGGAAGTTTTCCCTGGGAGACCCAGAGCTTCCAGCAGGGAAGTGCAGCCCTTTCCTTAGAGGAGCCCTCAAGTAAGAGAAGGGGGCTGGGTCTGCTTTCCTCCTCTTCCTAACTGCCAGGTCTGTCTTCTCCTTGGGCCTTTCTTCAGACTTCTGGGTGCCCTCCCAGTCCTTCCCTGCAGGAGCAGCACAGCAGGCTCCTATGAGGAAGGCTCTGGGCTACAATTCCATCCCCACCCTGTCTCCACACCACTTAACTTTTCCCCTATGTTCTTACAGGGAATGGAAACCCTGATGGTCAGAAACCTTGGGCCTTCAGAGCCAGCCTCACAAGCTGGGGATAATGCGCGGACCCCATTCCCCCTGGGTTCCGCTTAACTCCCAGTAGTGCCCATTCCAAGAAGTCCAGCTCTGGGTCCTACAGCAACATCC